TTAGTGGGGGTATTTTTTCAAAGCACTTTGAATGCACACTGTAGCGGTCGCCTGGGGCAACCGAAGCCATGAACCTGGGTGGCATGCAAAGGTCTGCCCCTTCCAGAAGCTTCCCTGGCTTTCAGCAGAGAGCCTGGGTGAGTCTGTGAGTGCCAGGGGCTGAAAGGGGCCTGTTTCAGAAAGTCGAGTGTGTTGATTCGGGAAATTGTTTACTTCACAAATACAGACTGATAAGAAAAAAATTCATGAGAACACTGGAGATATGTTTGAGGATTTTCTTCATTGCAATAAATAGCATTCTTCTAATGAAAATGAACTTTATGAGTCCAAGTATGCATTTTAACAGGTTTGCAGATTTATGCTTCTTATGCCAAGCTGCTGAACTAAAGGACGGGATGAAATGAAGTCCAGTGAACGAAAGTTTTTTCTTTCTTGTTTTTTTAATGTTTTTTGTGGGGTGAGTGGCAGAAGGTCATCACACCCGGGGTCTCTCTCCAGAGTCTGTGCCCCTCCACCAGCCAAACTGTAAGCTCTCTCTGAGCAGCCTGTCAGATACCTCCTTGTATCTTCCCCAGCGCCTGCGCACCTACTAGGCGCCCAGTCAATATGGACGACAAATGGCAGCCTTGTCTTTCTGATGCGGCCAAACCACAGGGACAGTCCCTCACTGTTGCAGCCTTGAGCTCCGCGTGCCATTAGCTCTGACTCCCCCCGCCCACCTTGTTTTCATGGTCCAGGCAAATGCAGGCCTGGTTCCCACTGCTGCTGACCAGAGAGCCGAGGGCCAGAGCCTGGCTGGGAAGAAAGGTGGATATGAAAGTTCTTTACTAAAAATAACACAGAAAACCACCACACAGCCAGACTTTTAAACAAACCTCAGGATGCCTCCTTAGCTCATGAAGAAAGGGGTCTGAGTGCATAGCTTGACCCTGTCTGGGGGAAGTCGGTTTGCGGAGGCCCTTCCACCTCTTGGGCCCAGCAGCTGGGCAGGCTGACTGCGGTCACATCTGTCACACGGGGCTTGTTGGACGGCGGGGACCGTCCCGAGTTACGGAATTCCACTTTTCCTCTATTTCTCCCAGGAGAGAGGGGCTGTCTACCAGTGAACTCAGGCAAAACAATACAAGGAGTCCCTCAGAAGGACAGAACTTGTGTTCAGTTTGGAGGGTACTTTTTTTTAATCCTAAGTATATTTTATCTGAACAGGAGGGAAGGGCAGCTCACTCTGGGTTTTTTGCTTTTGTTTTCTCCCAACCCAGGCAGTCCAGTGCCAGAACCTGAGTCCCTAGGCATTTTCTCTTGCTCTCCTTCGTCCCTTTCATTCCAGGCCACGCGCTCCAGCGCGGATTCTGAGTGCCACAGGTCTAGGATGAATGAGTTACCCTGGGGAGGGAACCGCGCCACTTGAACGGGTCGGTGTGACTTAGACTCTCCGCGTGCTGGCCGGGCTGGGAGAAGCATCTCCTCTGGGCCCTTCCTGCCCCTGGAAAGCAGCACAGGGGCCTTTCTTCCCAGAATAAGTCACCGACGCACACTCCGCTGGTCTGTGTGCTGCACATGGCAGGGCGGGAAATGGGCATCTGGGAGTCGGAAGGCACCGGTCAGTAGATGTTTGGGACAAAAGAGCCCCTGCTCCGAGGCCTGCCTCTGTGGAGGCCGGAGCCCACTGCTGGGCGGCCTGGAAGGGCTGGGCCTGCCTGGCCATGAGAGAGCGCACATGTCGGAGGGATCCCTCCCAAGGCATCTTGAACTTGGAGGGACTGGGACCCTGTCAGGACTGACTTCGCCAGGGTGTGTGGGCCTCCCACAAGATTATCTGGGAGGTCTCGGCCTTGTCCCGTTGCTGCGGCCTCCGCGGCTGCTTTAAGACCCCTGGGGTGCATACCCTGCTGCCGAGACCAGCGGGGCCTCTGGGACTCGAAGGGACTCTAGCTCCCTTGGGATGAAAACTTTGCAAACGCCCTTGTATTCGGAGAGCCAGCGGCTGCCTGACTTGCTGTCAGCCCCACACTTGGCGGGCAGTTAAAACGACACTGACCCCTGCAGCAGGCGACACCCGCGTTTGGGTGGCTCCAGAAAATACGAGTCCGTCTCTCATTGCTGGAGGGGCCGGTGTGGTGTGACTGAAGGGCACAGGGGCTGCCTTTGGGTGGGACCCTCGGCCCCACCCTCTGCGTTCCCTCAGGACGGGGTGGGGCTGCCACCCAGGGCTGCCTGCCCTTCCCCTCCAGCTGGCTGACCAGGGTCGGGAAGTGGGGAAGTCTCACTTGCTCCAGTCGCTTCGCCTCAGCCTGAAAATGTAGAGGTGCACTGAGATTTTCATGTGAAGCCCTAACTGATTCATCTTCACTGCCTCGCAGTGAGCCACTGTTTTACCGTGATCCTCAGCGGTCCACAGTCTGCGTGACCTGTCGGCCTGTCCTCTCGGCGGCAGCCACTGAATAAATATTCTTACTGCTGCCCAGGTAGCCTGTGTATTTCTGTTTCTGGGAAAGAGACCCTCCGACGTGTCTGCTTTTGTTGCACAACAACGTTGGGAATGAAAGAATCTCTAACACTTAACATCCAAAATCTTCATCTTGTTAAAACAGTCTACAGGATGTCATATTTGGCATATTGTAATTACTATCAGTTTAAAGCACACACCATTGAATTGCTTTAAAAATGTATCAACATGCATGAAATGGAATATAAACACCACAGTGACTTGGTCGTCACAACCACACTCTAAGGAACAAACTCTGAACATTAAAAGTTGTATCATTCCTTTTTCTCCTTACAATCATACTTATGTTCCTTTCCCCTAACACAATTTTATTCCAATGGCTCATAAGATATATAGTTCTATTTTCAGAAGTCTTACATCAATAACTCCACCACACTCTCTGCAACAAAAATATGTGCATACATTAGAACTGATCTTTAAATGTTTCTGTGACCCCGGCAGTCTAAGTGTTTACAAGTTCCCATGGAGGAAGTTATTTCTGTAATTATCAACAGTACAAAATGATCCAACTACGACTTAGGAATTTTGGCAGATAATTGCCCAGTAATCATAACTCTTAATGAGATGGGATCAGATGTGGGGACATAATCGATGGTGCTTTTGTTAAAGGAACCGTCACACCCCCCGTCTGTGCCCAGGCCTTACCCTACCCCACAGCTGGCTGACCAGGGTCAGGAAGGGGAGAAGTCTTCCTCTCCTGGAGGAGGAGGCCCCAGGTCAGCGCTGACCCCTCTGAGCAGCGCGGCCACAGGGCCAGGGCCCCACATTTCCTCCTAACTGAGGACCCCCCTCTGACATACCCACCCCCTCACCAGGCTGCACGGGTTTCCAGGTCCCAGGATTCCCATGGCCACCTTTTCTACCTATTGCCCAACCTCCTCAAAGTACTTCCCAACTGGGCTTGCACTTGGCCTCCACTCGTTGTGTAGGTTTTCGCTTTGGCCAGGCTGGTGGGTGTCCAGTGGAACCCCCTTTGGTTTCCACCTCCGTTTTCCCGATCACTAAAATGTTGGCTTCCTTCCAGCCGTGGAATCCGCCCTTGCGGGGGAAGCGGCTGCTCAAACCTCGCCTCCTCTCTGTCTGCTTATAGAGTCTCAAGCCAGGGACCCCGTTAGTTCCTCACAGCGCCCCCTGGCGGAGCCCTTCCCCTCCCCACGGTGCCCTTCCCCAAGCCGAAGTTCTAAACATCAGCGCACGAATTCGCTTTTCTTCCACTGGGGTTCCCTGGGACGGTTCTCCCAGCCCAGGAGGGTCAGGATCTGGGTTTGGCTTCTGTTCTGGTGGCTTCCCAGGTACGTCGCCTTGAGGAAGTTACGCTCAGTTTACGACGGAGTAACTGACTCAAACATGCAGGGTAGTACGTGCTGGGCATTACACGTGCAGTGCAGAGACGCGCACGGAATGGCTACTGTTGCGTGGGCTGTTGTCATTTATTTGACAGTCTAGGACACAGGTGTCAAACACAAGGCCTGCGGGCCAAGTCCCGCCCTCTAGCTTGTTTCTGCCTGGCAGTGCAGAGCTCTCACTTAACTGTTAAGGGGTACTTACATGTATATGGTTCTAAAATTACACTCAGCCCTTTGAAGGGAACCCGAGGCTGATGGGGCCCCCGGTGAAAATGAGTTGGACACCCCTGGTAGGGGAAAAGAGGTCAGTGCCCCCGCCTAAATGGTCAGGTGTTGAATGTTTTAAACATTCCTGTAGCACACCGGTAGAAAATTAGTGATGTAGATGAACATATTCATGACCCTGAAAAGTATGGAAGATTGGACCCTAATTTTAACCACCTGGAATAAGAAGCGCAGGGCAAGAAAAGAAATAAACTTTGGCTGGAAGTTGGTGCGCCCCATGAAAAGCCGCGGATGATTGCGAGTGGACCCCGGCCGAGGCACGAGGGAGGCCGGCCACCAGCGGCTTTCACTTAGAAGGTTTTCCATCCCAGACCACCCCGTGGTCACCGGAGGCCTGGGAGTGGGTGGGGCCGCCACGCGGGCCTCCGCCGGCCTCTCAGGCCCTTTCCGCCCACACCTGGGACGCGGTCCTGGCTCAGACCTCACACCTGTGTGCCCTGCAGAATCTTGAGTGCACCAGAGACTGGGCTTATCCCCTGGGGTAGGCCGCGGGGGTTACACGCAGCCCCTCAAAACGCTCACAGTCCTTGGGACGTTCCGCTTTGTCTTTGTGGAAAGTGGGGGGTGCCCAGCGCCGCCTGGGGCCCCCTCCCCTGTGGTCTCAGAGAGCCAAGAAATAAAAGTACTGTCACTGCGGGGATGACACCCTTCCCCCAGCTGAAGTTCTGGCACGAAAAAAAAAAAAGTTCAAACCGTAACAGAAATCAAAGAATGAAGAGTCGAAGCGTAGCAAACACTCATCATTACATTGCTGGGATTCGTTACACTGTTGGGACAGACACGGCTGTGCCGGTCTGCGGGCCCGGCGCTGGCTCCGGAGCCGCAGCCGCGGCTGGAGCAGGGGAACCGGTTTCTGTACTCACCGCAGCCGGGAGACAGGTCTCCTGTCCAGTCCCGCTGGCGTCCGTCCTGCGGGAAGGGGCCAAGGAGCCCTGGGGCAGGTGGTGCTGCGGCGATGAGACCCGTGCGGGGAACGGCTCCCCGGGCGACTGGAGGCTCCCAGCAACGGGGCTGAAGGGCAGGAGGTCCCGCTGAATGCTGCCTCCGCCTGGAGCTGACCTTGAGCGACAGGCTTAGTGGCTCCAAGGTCAGCGCGTCCTCCTGACGAGGCCATAACGCTAGGGGAGTTACCGCTCACTCACGGGGTGGGTGGGGGGGGGGTCACCTGCCCAAACTCTCACCTGATCTGATGACCTAAACGCATCAGGTGTCCCTGGCTAGAAAACACATCCTAGAGGGACTTCACGGAAGCTCTGGGGCCCAACCAACTTTACAAAAATTAAGAGAAAGAGGCAAATCCGACCTCAGCACCGCTGTTCCTGTGAATTTATTTAGTGAGAAGGCCCAGAATAAGTTTCCATCTAAGTGTGATATTTTTAATGCAGTGCAAGCTGTAAAATCATTAGAGAGGGAGATCATTTCATCCATGCAATTTTTTCTAGTTTCTTGATTTAAAAAATTATTATTATAATTTTACTTTTAAATAAACAGTTTTAGTGCCAAATCATTTCATGAGCAGCCATTCACAGGGCACTACGCCGTCTGAAGAGCACCTGGGTGCACCGGTATTTCATTTTACCTCTGCGAAGGGGAAGTTCTTCTTGCTGGCCAGGTGCGTTCCTGCGAAAAGCCAGGAAAAAGTGATACCGCCAGTTGGCAATTGCTTGCCCTTCGCTCATTTCTGGTGCTTTGGTGTCCTCTGGTGGTGAAACGTGGGAAAACAAGTAATAGTATTAGAGCCCTGATTTTCAACCGGTGTGCGGGAAGAATTTAAAAACATGCAACGCCTGACTATTTAGTCAGGTGAAACGACCTCTTTTCTCTTAGACTGTCAAATTAATAAAATGACAACGGCCAACACAACAGCAGCCATCTGGCGTGAATGAATCAAAATTATACTTATTTGGGGGGTCAGGTTGTCACAGAACTGTAGTAATTAGTTTATGTTATGAGATGAAAAAGGTTGAAAATCGCTGCTACGCAGTATCATGAACAGTAATAGGTGCAAGTCACACATTGAAAACCATCAAGAAAAATAGCCCCTAAGACGGACCTTGTGGGTTCATTTCGTTTTGCCTCCCATAAAAATTGCTAGCAGCTTTGATGCATTGAGTTAATAAAAACAATAACTTCACAAACTGAAACTAGGCTTGAAAACCTGTCTCATAAAAAAGATGATAAATCTTTTAAAAACGGGGCTAACAAAAAATTGATTCTATTACATCTGTGTGCATGTTGGCAACAAATGCCATGTCACTGAAACAAGACAGGAAACTCGAAAAAGTCCTGGAAAAGCAGATTTCAAAAAGCCCATGAACAGTATGAAAATGGCATTTACTCTCTGAGCCGTCTGAACTATAAACTGACGGAGTGGAAGGGTGTGTGGCCCTAGAATACATAGTTTTCTATCACTTCAACTTTACCCTTTCAACCTCCCTACGTTTTAGGGACATGCCTTTTATTTGTTTATTCTTTTAATAAAAATTTTAAAAGATTTTATTTATTTATTTTTAGAGAGAAGGAAAGGGAAGGAGAAAGAAATGTCGATGTATGGTTGCCTCTTGTGTGACCCCCAATGGGAACCTGGCTTGCAACCCAAGCCTGTGCCTTAAGCGGGAATCGAACTGGCAACCCCTTGGCTCACAGGCCTGTGCTCAATCCACTGAGCCACACAAGCCTGGCTGAGGGCTGCCTTTTAACTGGAATACAGCTGAGCCCTGGCTGGGTATCTCACGAGGTTGGCTGTTGCGTCATAGAGTGAAGGTGTCGGGCTCCATCCCTGGTCAGGGCACATGCAAGAAGCAAGCAATGAGTGCACAAGTGAGTGGAACAACAAATCGATGTCTCACTTTATCTTTCTCTATCTCTCAAATCAAATTAAAAAAAATTAAAAATGCAGGTCATGCCATCGAAGATCCCAGATTTCAGGAAGACCGAAGGAGTGTGGAATCCGAGGTGAGAGCGGTGAAGCGTCTGCCGACACTGGGCCTGTGTGCAATGGATATGCAGCAAGTCTCATGTCGCGTACAACATGCACGGGGTCCTGGGAAGAGGGGGGAATTCCACAGCGAGAGAGGGTGGGCGATACCTTCCTCACCTGCCCTCAGCATATTGAGCCGTATTTGTGTATACAGCTCAATATACCTCAGCATATAACCAAGTTGTGTATCTCAGCTGAGTTATTGATGTCTTCTGCATTTCACTAGCCCTTGGTGTCCATAAAACTTGCCTGGGTTATATGCATGCGATCTCAAAATTTCAGCGGCTCAATCAAACATTTATTTATTACTCACTATCCAAGCGGGTGGTCCGAGGAGAACGGGGGGCTCTGGGTTTTGAAATCAGAGCCCCTGACCTTGGCTGCGGGGCACCCAGTGTCAGCATGTGCTTCTAGGACCCTGCACTGGAAATAAATAAACAAACAGACAAACAAACACATATATAAATAACAAAAGAAGGAACACGGTGAATCGTGTGTGCCAGCCTTGCAGGCCATCTCAGGGTAGGAGAGTTATTTGTAACCTGCACACAGAGAACAGAGCAAAGCCGTCAGCTCTCTGAAAACCCTGTCGACCTGAATTCTCTTTTATCTGCTCTGTGCTCATTGTCAGAAATGAAGAACACGTCTGTTTGTCCCTGGAGGGGATTGTTTGTTCTTTTTCTGTCTGTTCCTGTTTGTTCTTTCTGGGGGCACTTGATCAGCAGGCCCGTGGCCTTCCTCTACGAACTCGGTCTTAACCATGACTCAGGATTGGCGAAGCAGAGAGGACCCCCTTTCCTTGTGAATGCAGCAGTGAGGGAACCACGGGGCAGGAGCACAGTGGCAATAGCAGAACAGGGAATGTGGGGAGACACTGAGTGTGGTTTAGGGGTTCAGTTTAGTGTCCGTCTGCAGGAGCTCCCTCGGGGTGCAGGATTTGATGCGAGACTGCGCTGGAGAAATAGCAGCCGAAGCAGAAAACACGAGAACTACCAGTTCAGAACCATTGCTAATAAATGGCCTGATGGGTGATTTCTACATGTGTACACGTTTGTCTGCATGGAAACACAATATACACAACATTTAACCCCTTCCAGTAACATTTATCAGCACCTTGTTTGAAGAGAGATGGGTTGTTAAAAATAAGCTCATAGGTAATTAATGTTTTTATAACACTCAGTTAAACTGTTCGGTATACTTCGTGAGTTTAAGGTATTCTGAAGGAAGTAACACTTTTTGTTCTTGTTGCAAGAAAATAACCTACTTAGGAGGGTTCCTGCCAGTCTTGTGACCACGGGCTCGGGTATTCGAGGCCCTGGGAGACACTGACGAAGGAAACTTGCACTTCTGGCTGATGTCCACTAGATGGCACTATTGAGTGCAAGATTCAACCCGCTGTAGATTTTTAAGGCAGAAATTTGACCAATCATAGAAGACATTTATTTATATTGGGTTACTCCCCTTTCCGCATTAATATTCAAGACAACACCCAGACCACTTTTGTTCGTTTTGGAAATAAAGAATCAAAATTTGTAACCTGGAAATTAAGGAGCTGGGATGGTATATTATCTGCTATTTTATTGGAATTCACAGAAAGGACATTTTTATCATTAAAACACCATGTTTTGGTCATGTTCATATATAGTGTAAGTTTTGATCAGAGCTATTTTCATTTGGGGGCAAAATAATTTTATTTTCAGACTAATGAAAGAGTAGGGGCTACTTTTTTCTCCAATTTTTAAAAATCAGACAAGAACATATCTCGAGTGGCTGCGTTGGTGTGTAAAAATAAACCACCTCTGAGTGCCTCCTGTCACCGCGATGGCCAGGAGACACGATAAGCGAAAACAAAACTGTAAAACATAAATAACACTCCAATGGCGGGCCGAGCAGAGCCAAGTGCTCAGGGTCTGCGTGCAGATGTGGAAGAACCGCAAATCCCACGACTGGGCGGGCTTCTGTGTCCTGTGACCCCGCAGCGGGAAGGGGCCTGTCCTGCTCCGTCACTGTGCAGTGAGGACGCCGGGGACCGCAGGGCTGTGCAAACGAGTCGCAGGGACGCGTCTGTGGGACCGGAGCCACCCTGATCCTCCCTTTGCGCCTCTCAGGGACACCAGGAGGGCACTTCGGGTTCCAGCGATGATGAATTTCTGTTTTCTCGCTTACAAATCCTCTGCCTTAGGACACGGCGCATCTATGCAGCGTCGTTAATAAAGTCATTCATTCTGAGGTTTTATTTTAAATACGGATACTAAGGAAGTTGTTAACATTGGAGACAGTGAGGCAGAGGAAGGGCCTTGCGTTTGGGGTGCTTGGCCAAGCGCGCCCTTTGGGGATGTCGTGGGAATCTTCGGGGCTTGGGTTCCTGAACCATCACATAAAAGGGTCAGATGGCTGATTTCTGACAGTCCCTTGGTGGGGTATGACTCTGGGTTTTTTTTTAATCTTTATTTTAATTGTTGTTCAAGTCGTTTTCTGTCTTTTACTTCCATTCCATTCCCTGCTCCAGCCCTGCCCACCTCCCTCCCATTTCCACCCCCACTAAGTTTTTGTCCCTGTGTCCTTTCTACTTGTTCCTGTAAATCCTTCCCCTTTCCCCCTGAAATCCCCTCCCCTCTCCCCTCTGGTCAGCCTGTTCTCTATTTCAGTGTCTTTGGTTACATTTTGCTTGCTTGTTCGTTTTGTTGTTTAGGTTCCTGTTAACAGTGAGATCATATGGTATTTGTCTTTCACTGCCTGGCTTATTTCACTCAGCATAATGCTTTCCAGTTCCATCCATGCTGTTGCAAAGGGTAGGAGCTCCTCCTTTCTCTCTGCTGCATAGAATTCCATTATGTAAATGTACCATAGTTTTTTGATCCATTCATTTACTGACGGGCACCTGGGCTGCTTCCAGCCCTTGGCTATTGCTCTTTGCATGGCTGCTCCCTGTTTTAGAAAGCAGTCCTCCACCCTCCCTCCCCCTGCGGCCTC